CCAGGCAAAAGAAGGATTTGCCGCCCTCCCCCCCCCGGAACATCGCAATGCCCCACCCATATGAACTAATGCCAGTGCTGCACACAGTGTGTGTTTACATTAAAAAGCCTGCAGGGACAAACTATAGACACCAGAACAACTTTATTAAGCTGCAGTGGTTCTGGGGACTATAGTGTCCATTTAATGTGAGGTAAATTAGAGATTAGTGTCACGAATAATATACTAGATTACCTACTTACAATCAGATGAGGATGGTGATGGGCTCTGGCTGCAGTCTGGCTCCACTGGTCTGGTGTAGAACAGGATCTCTGGAGGCTGTTTGTAACTGTGGTCACAAAATTCAATGTTCTGGGAGAATGGGAAGCAGCTCCATTTTTTGGGGCCTCTTACATAGCTCAAGGTCTGGGCCCCAGGGCCTGACGGTGAGTATGCCCATAAAGCCCACCCATAAGTCCACCTACATGTTCCACCCATGAACTCACAGGGAGTAGAGTGTGTAGGGGATGTGTTATGTGTTACTGTAGAGGATCTAATGTGTGTGCTTACGGAATGTAGTGTATAGGGATACCAGTTTGTGTAGGTGATGCAGTGTGTTTGTGTGTAGTGGAAGCAGTGTGTTTTTGTGTAAGGGATAGAAAGCAGTGAGTGTTTGTGTATAAGGGATGTATTGTGTGAATCTGTGTTTGTATGCATAAGGGATGCAAAGTGTGTTTCTGTGTATGTAAGGGATGCAGTGTGTGTGTCTGTAAGGGGTGCGTTGAGTGTGTGTAAGAGATGCATTGTGTTTCTGTGTGTGTGTAAGAGAAGCAGTGTGTTTGCATGTGTGTGTAAGGGATGCATTGTGTGTTTCTGTGTATATGTGCAAAGGATGCATTGTCTTTATGTGTAAGGGTTGCATTGTGTGTTTCTCTGTGTGTAAGGGAAGTATGTTGTGTTTCTGTGTGTATAGGGATGCATTGTGTGTGTGTGTGTGTGTGCGCGTGGTGTGAAAGAGCTCCCTGTCCCCCTGTCCTATAGAGCTCTCCCTTCCATTCCTTAGAGATCTCCCCTGCCCCTTAGTGGTCTCTCCTTTCCCCCCACCTCCCTTAGTGGTCTCCTTTTCTCCCCGACTTTCCATTAGTGGTCTCTCCTCTCCCCCCACCCTTCCCTAGTGGTCTATCCTCCACCCCCTCCCTTAGCGGTCTCTCCTCACACCCCTCCCCTAGTGGTCTCTCCACCGCCCCCTCCCTCCTTTAGTGGTCTCTCCCTCCCCTACATTCTCATCTCCCACCCTTCGTGTTCTCCTCTTCTTCTCCCCCTGTGTTTTCCTCTTATTCCCCCGCCTCCCTGTGTTCTCCTCTTCTTCTCCCCCCTGTTATCTTCTCTTCTCCCCTCCCTGTAATCTTCTCCCCTCCCCTTGTAATCTTCTCCCCTTCCTCCCTGTAATCCTTCTTCATAATCTTCTCTTCTTCTCCCCCCTAATCTTCTACCTCCCCCCTCCCATCAATCTTCTCCCCCCCCTCCCATCAATCATCTCCCCCCCTCCCTCCCTCCATCTTCTCCCCCCCCTTCCTCCCATCAATCTTCCCCATCAAATCATCTCCCCCATCCCTCCCATCAAATCATATCCTCCCTCCCTCCCTCTCAACAGCTTCTCCTCACCTCACCTCCCCTGCCCTGTAGCGTGGCCGAGCTCCTTTCCGGTCCGCGACCTGGCGGGACTGACAGGAAGTGCACACTCAGTGTGCACTTCCTGTCAGTCCAGCCGGGTCGCGGACCGGAAAGGAGCTCGGCCACGCTTCAGGGCAGGGGAGGTGAGGCACTGCGGCAGCCGCCTGAGCGCTCTCTATAGAGCGCTCAGGCGGCTGCAGAATTTAAAGGGCCGGCGATGGGGGCGCAGGGCGCCCCCTCCTATATGGCGCCCTAGGCGGCTGCCTAGTTCGCCTTATAGGAAGCGCCGGCCCTGTATGGGCCACACCTTACTGATGAGACCTATTAAGGCCAAAACAGTTGTCTTGAGTTGCTGTATATCGTGTGCAGAGGTAGAGAGCTTGCATTTTGGATTTAGTTGCCCTTTTGGGTGGGATTGGTCTGATATCCAAGTGGTCTAGGTTCTCTCTGTTACAGCACAAGATGAGCTAAAGCCAGTGTGGGGACCCACCGAACAGCAATCTATATGAGTTGTTGTCTGTTCTCAGTATCCTATTGTGCAGTGTTTTGGTTTACCTTTTCGTTAAGTTAATAATTTGTTTACAGATAATCAAAATAAATCTTTTATTGTTCTTACATCAGTCACTTTTCACAGAACTCCACAAATTGTACTGTGTACTGTGAACAAAAAGATGCATTATGAATAAACCATAGTGCCTGTTAAGTACCCGCCTTTGTCACTTAACAAAACATTACAATATGTTAATAACAGGAGCAATTAACAATCCAGCTTTCAGTGCGTGGCCAAATAGTACTGATCAAGTTGGCATATGGCCACCCCTTTCTTATTAAGTGAAAAAGCGTTGTACATTTTTTTTCTGGTAACTTCAAAGAACTTACTTACTGGATTCCATGAAGGAAATTTTAGATTACATGATAACCATGGGCTCTTTTTAAGTTTAAATGATCATGTAATTAAATTAAACTTTGCTGCTAATGGACTGTAAAGGACATTACAAACATGCTATTAGCCTTTGTGTTTTAACCCATGAAATTTGCAAAGGAGGAAAATGTTAATTGTATTATATAGTGCATGTATTAATTAAAATTGCTTGTTTGCTAATGTTCTATATATGTGTATTTTAAATGTTTGTCACCACATGCTTAAGGACTAGTCCCTAAAGTCTAGTATGTTAGTACCTTTTGAAAGTGAGTGTCCTGTGTGGAATTTTAGGGATACCAGTAACAGAGTCTTCTGACGTGTTGGCTGGCTGCACGATCCCCCTAGCCCAGGGGCAAATCAAAAGAGAGCTAGGCATGAGATCTGCAATATTTTTATGAAGACAAGAGTTATCACATTACAGGCAGAGGTGCATACCTGCCTGGAAGGAAAGCTGCAGAGCAATAGGAATATTGGACAATACTTGCCTGGAAGTAAAGAGCTCCATAGAAATCCCAGTCAAGCTTCAGCGACTAGGGCTGAAGCGTTCCAGTGTCCCAGCAAGTGGCTAAGAAGCGGGCTGGGCGGAGGTACTTGGTCAGAATACAGGAGCTCCGTCACACAAGCTGCTTTTGATAGTTCTGTGGAATGAAAGCCAGGATGGTATTTCTGTTACTAATTATAAAAGTGCTGACATATATTGAAATCAGCACTTTTATAAACTGTCACAAATATGGCAGATTCAAACATGTAAAGCAATTCAGTAACTTAAAGTACTTTATGTCTTTAAACACCACTGCACAACCCGAACACACCTCCCCAGAGGAATCTCAACACTCTATTCCATACGCCACTTGGAAACACGAGCCACTGGGAGAGAGACACAGCGAAGACACTCACCCCACAAGAATGGGACAACATTTTCACCCTCACTCACAAATGATCAATAAGCTCCAAATACCAGGAGCTAAACTATAAGTTGCTCACACGATGGTACAGAACACCAGACATCCTACACCGCATGCACGCTGACATGCCTAACACATGCTGGAGATGTGGCATACACACGGGGACCTACCTTCACATCTGGTGGACATGCCCCATCATAGCACCATACTGGGACAAAATCCAGGCAGAAAAATGAGAAGTCACAGGCACTGAATTGGACCTGAACCCACTGTCCATACTCCTTCACCACACCTCCCAGTCATTGAAAACTTACAAAAAATCCCTGTCACTACCCCTATTCAATGCAGCCAAATCCTTAATACCCGCACTCTGGAAACAGCCAAAAGCACCGACCCTCCAGCACTGGATAACTAAGGTGGAGGAAATTTACTCCATGGAACTTTGACAGCGGACCTGAAGGGACGCTCGGAACAATGTGCTCTAGCCCGGTACCCGTGGGCTACACACGTATCCAGGAGAGGTGGAGGTGCGGGGGCTCAGCCAGCTGATCCCCCCTAAACAGACCTGCCAGAACAGGAAATAAGGGGAACCTACACATGGTCGGGGTGCTGGGCCAGAGGGGCCGCGAGAGGGGACAGACCCTTCCCCAACACACCTTATACCTTGTCTCCCTTTGTCCCTTTCCCACCCCAAGACAGCACCTCACCCACGTCACCGAGCACCTAACCAGACAACTCTACTCAAGCCTGAGACAGACGGACATGTTAGAATTCTACCACCCGCAATGACCAACTGACTATACCAAACACTTGCACATGGCAAACACATTTAGGTTGTAAGTACAAGGATACCCAGCCGGACATAACTCTGCCTGTACCCTACTGCAACCAAATAGACAATAGCAGACACCAGACACGCAACAAGACACACCATAAGAAACCAACGACCGACCTATAAAGCTCCGGCGGGGCAGGGTGTAAGAATGACACTACGCATACGCACCCAAAAAGGCATGGGGCTCCCTGGTCGGGGTGGGGAGTCTCCCACCCCGGACATGGAGAATCACAAACACCTGTGACCCATTTTCTATTCCAAACTATAGTCACCTGAACCCTAGCACTGTTAAAGAACGCACTACAGCACACCCCCCACCCAAGTTTTCACCTACCCTGGTACTATAGACTTAGAAGTAAACCCAAATAGAGCACACCACACAAAAACCACCGAAGAGAAAAGAAGAGAGTTTAGAGGGAGATGAGAGCATGTAACAACAGACACTGTTAGAATATTGCTACAATTGATGCATGTATTCGTCTCAATAACATGGAGCTGAAAGTGCTAAAAACCTTATATCGCCAATTGTTGAAATGTTTTATGACTGCTCATATATGTATGCTTAATACCACAATTTACTCACTGTGTTATTCAACTGTCAAAAAAAATGGCCCAAACTAGCTAAATAAGTACGAACTTCGACTATGGAAATATGTTTTTACAACACAAATGCATATTAACATTTTATCAGATGTATATTTATATTTTTGCAGGCCAACAATGGGAGGTATGGATCCAGGAGGTGCACGGTCTATTAGGAGTGAGCAACGAAGTATACTAACCAAAAAGAGGTAGGCCTGCCCAGAATGTGCTGTTCCACCTAAAAAGGAGGGCATTGAATATGGAACTTTCTTGCCAGATCCAGACCTGTTGGAAAGTCTGCATGCGTGCTAATGACTTGATAGGAATTGCCCCTCCGACCCCCCTTGGCCTTGGCAGCAAATAAGGATTAAGACAAATTGGCGGAAATAGATGGTTGCTAATAGCCAGAACAAATTTTATATAATGATAATAAACCCTCTTTAATCTCATGTCCCTAATGGATATAAAATAGTCATATTTATTATTATCTTCAACTTTGTGAACCTTTTGTTACCATTTGTAATCCTTAATGGCAAGTGTAGCTCAGAAATCACCAATTTTACCACATGACAGGAGGCTTCATATTTGCATATCTTTCTTTACTCAAAACTCCAGCAGCATAGTAACATAAACAACCAATCAGAAAAAAGATATAATGCCCATAAAAGGCCCTGTCTATGACATCACTTCCTCTTTCTTTGCTGCTCCAGCCAACATCAGGTCAGAGTATTTTGCCTCCCTGGCAATTGCTTACATATATTGTTTGTTTCTCTGTATTTTGGATTGTATTGTTCTATTTTTACCTAAGTTAATTTATTTACCTAAGTTAATTTATTTATTTAGCTAATTTATTTATTTCATTTACTTATTTCATTTAATTAATTTATTTATTTAGTTTTTATTTTCGCTGTTCCCTTCTCCCTGTCCCTGCAGTTTTCTTTTTGGGCCCCTATTGCTTTTCACTGCCGGTACCCACGAGCAACGGCTGTCAGTGCCGCGCGCCGCGGGCTGGCTAACGTTTTCCTTTTGTGGGGCCGGCAAGGGGACGGGTGGAGGGGGACTGGGAACTATGTTCCCTCGTCGTTCCGGCGCTGCGCGGTCGATCTCGGCGCTACTTCACACGCGGGCGGCGGCCATCTTGGATCTCGCGGCTCGCGAGATACCGGACGGCCGCCTTCCCCGCTTGCCCGGCGGATCGGCAACTCACCCGACCGCCGGGCTCCACATCTGTATACCCTCCCTAGTATGTACTAAGGGAGGGTATTAGGTTACAGTGGATTTTTGCCTTTCAATATATATATTTGCCCAGTGCCTGCCTGCTGTGCTGCCTATCTATTATAAATGCATGCATTAAAGAGACAAGCATTCCCCCCTTTTTTTCCAGCTTCAGACCTTTATGTCTCTATGCCCTGCTTAGGGTCATATCAGCTACTATACCCCAATTAGGGTTATACTATACATGGTTATAATCTCCTCAGGATCAGACGGCATACTGGCAAAAATTATATACAATTATTATTTTTTATTCTCATGAGCAGGCACACAATCTATGTATTATTGTGAAGCCATACAATATCACAGTCGTTATACAAAACATATACTGTACCTATATCAAGATCAACTATATCACTGTACTCTACGAAGAGCATATTATGTTACTGTACCCTACAAAGGGCATATTATATTATATTATTGTACCCTACAGAGGGTCATATTATATTACTGTACCTGACGGTGCAAATTTATGTGGGTGTCCTCTGGGTATTTTTTTCATGGCACACCACCTGGGGTGACCCCCCAGATATGCATGCAAGGTCACTGACAGACCATTACCTTTGATGTGGGTGTCCTCTGGGTTACCATGGCACACCACCCGATCATATGCATGGAGGCCTACGCCTCAACTTTACCACTGATTACTACAGACATATATGGATGTTTAACCCTTAACTATGGATGTTTAACTTTTGGAATAAAAGGGAATCATGACATGTCACACATCTCAATTGGTATTTATAAGAAGATTTGGAGGAGTCCTGGAGTTGATGGGATATTTTGTGTTTTCGGGAACTTTTGGGACTTTTAGGAAATATTAGTTTTTTATTTTTGGAAAAGTGTTTTTTTAAGTTTTTTGTCTTTGTTTTTACACTTTTGTGTTTTTGGTAACACACATATATACAATTTCATATGCAGCTAGATAAAGACAAAGTAATCTTAGAAAACAACTATTTGTGGCTGTAATATTCTACTGATCATTGAAGGCCACACTGTTTGATTTACTGGTGAGCTGACCAACGAGAAATAATTGGTCTTTGTTGTGACAAACAGTATATAACCCCATGACACTAATATGAAGAGACTCATTCTTTTCTTTAGTGTATTACTGTTTATGACCCCAGGCATGTGTAGTCTGATATTTATATTTTGCATAAAATATATCTCATTTACTATGGTGTGCCTATATGTGTGCAATCATCATTGATGTATATTTCGATTTTATGCAGCAATATTTATGTATATTGAGTTTTAGGTACAGAAACCCTTCTTAGTGCTACTACTGCTTCTATTTACAGCCGTCCTACGAAAACTGCCCGTGGGATCTGATGACCAAGTCCAGTCCATGGTGATATAGTGTACAGGAAAGTAGCAATTTGTTTTTCTATTATTTCCTTCGGTTAATCTGCAGAGTATTTCATGAAGGAGAAGAGGTCACTAGAGAGGCAGGGGCTCTGACCCTGATGGACAGTACCTCCTGTGAATTTGTTTCTTTCACCTGTAGCTTCTGGACTGTAAGGTGATATATATATTGTGAGAAGGACACGGCAGGAACAGCCACTCCAATGCCTTTTCAAGATGTTTACTTACAAAACCAACAGTTTTTAACAGTCAGAGTACTCTTTCTTCTTAAGACCTAAATCAAGCCAAAAGCAAACAAAAACCTAGGAGATTACCTAAACAGAGGTATTTCCTTTTATTTTTATTTTTTTCAATTTGTGTTTTATTTGAATTTGCACTCAAAGTAAGCAACATTTCCATTATTTGTGATCATTTTAATACACAGGTGAACTAAGGTGCTAAAGGAAAAGCCTACAATGTAGGTAAGAAAGGAAAAGAATATCAAATGGTTATGTGGCAGGGTTCCCTACTACTATATATGTAACATATTGTTCTATTGAAGAGGCCAAGTATAGCCGTTTATAGAAACTATTACGTTTTGCAGAATGCATTGCAGACAACTTAGGGATGAAAACCGAAGTCATAGGCCTTATGAACAGGGATCACTGCCGCCTGGCATCGCCCCCTAGGCACTGTTGTCAGCACTTGTGTGGTTTTCTCTCTAAAGTGTCCACTTTTCTTCTGTGTTAAAGTTGAAGCTTCTGTTTATGATGTGGCTTGTAGGCTCAGTCTTTTTAAGAATGCCTCTGGGTCATCAGACGAGGGATTCATCCCTATGTGTGGCCAGAAGGGATCCCTCCACTCGCCAACGATACATGACTAAATTGTCTCTCAACCTTTTGGCGACTGGTGCCAATTTTCTCTTCTCCACTGACACCGTAAATGGTATATCTCTGTAAAACGCCAGTGTGCAGCCTTTAAACTGTATGGTCCCTTGATCTCTAGATCAGTTCATAATCGCTGCAACATCTCTCATGGCATCTCTTTGGAGCTCACCTGGGTGCTGCAGCTGATTTGCACACACGGAATGCTGAAGTAATCTGTGGGGGTCTCTGCACCCCTTAATGCCCATAGAGGAGATTAGATTTCGCATAAACTGCAGCAACATCTCACCTCCTACTCTTTCTGGGATACCTCTGAGGTGTATATTTCAGCATCTGTAGTGTGACTCCATTGAGGTAACCACATGGCTCAGTTGGTGGACTTGCAAGGTAATCCTTTGGAAGCTTCCACTCTCACTTTTTGATGCATGATTCCCATTTCGGTTTGGGCCTCTAGCAGATCAGGCTTCCACACCTCCCTGAGGTCTGTTAGTATTTTTTTGGATGTCCCCTTTTGTCAATGGAGATGAGTCTTCATCTAACTCCGACGTTTCATAATCTCCTCCGATTTGATGCAAAACACTCCTCGCCCTCTTGAGATTCATCAGAGACCTCTGGTTTACTCTGGGCCTCAGGCACTATCTTTGGCAATTCCCGCGGCCCTGACCTCTTGAAAGAGAGCCTAACTTGTCAAAATGGGAGCTCATGAGCGATAATTCGCCCCATTGTATTATCAGGGGGTTGCATGAAATATCCGTTGCAGTGCTCCACAGAAAGGCATCTGTGTATACCAGAGGTATTTTGTTTTTAACAGTACTGACCAACTAAGCTGCAATAATTAAACAGCACAAAGTGTTCTTACCACTCAGGCTGAGTTTCACACTCTCTGTGTCTGTGACCAGTAGTCTAGGAAGAAAACATAATAAGAAAATGGCCAGGCTGTGTTAATTAAGTAGCAGGAGAAGCTGCTACAAGTGTTACTTTCCATTTGCTGGCTTATGTACATGCCCTTAATTAACCTACCCCCAGTGACACTGTCACAATATATATATATATATATATATATATATATGATTATTTAATTTTATATTTCTATTTAGTTTTTTAAAATATATTTTTTAAACTTCGGAGATTGCATTTTATGTCAGCATCAAAAGTGTAGTTCAGGTCAAGTGTAGGCAACCTTCGGCACTCTAGATGTTATGGACTACATTTCCCATAATACTTTTACAGCAACAATGCTGGCAAAACATTAGGCGGGATGTAGTCCACATTTGGAGAGTCAAAGGTTGCCTACCCTTGTTTTATCTTCAGTTTAATGTCACACGATGAGCTAAAATCAGCTTAAAACTGAGCAGAAACCTACCAAAGAGCAAACTATTGTTGTTGCGTTATTGTCGGTGCTCAGTATTGGCTTGAGCTCTGTTTTGGTTTGTTTGCAAATTTCCTAGGGTCTTCCAAATGCAAAAAGATAATCCAGATACGGATCCCTTGTTCACTGTGCCAAGATGGTATGGCCCCAGGCAAAAGAAGGATTTGCCGCCCTCCCCCCCCCGGAACATCGCAATGCCCCACCCATATGAACTAATGCCAGTGCTGCACACAGTGTGTGTTTACATTAAAAAGCCTGCAGGGACAAACTATAGACACCAGAACAACTTTATTAAGCTGCAGTGGTTCTGGGGACTATAGTGTCCCTTTAATGTGAGGTAAATTAGAGATTAGTGCCACGAATAATATACTAGATTACCTACTTACAATCAGATGAGGATGGTGATGGGCTCTGGCTGCAGTCTGGCTCCACTGGTCTGGTGTAGAACAGGATCTCTGGAGGCTGTTTGTAACTGTGGTCACAAAATTCAATGTTCTGGGAGAATGGGAAGCAGCTCCATTTTTTGGGGCCTCTTACATAGCTCAAGGTCTGGGCCCCAGGGCCTGACGGTGAGTATGCCCATAAAGCCCACCCATAAGTCCACCTACATGTTCCACCCATGAACTCACAGGGAGTAGAGTGTGTAGGGGATGTGTTATGTGTTACTGTAGAGGATCTAATGTGTGTGCTTACGGAATGTAGTGTATAGGGATACCAGTTTGTGTAGGTGATGCAGTGTTGTTTGTGTAAGGGATAGAAAGCAGTGAGTGTTTGTGTATAAGGGATGTATTGTGTGTTTCTTGTTGTGTGTAAGGGATGCATTGTGAATTGTGTTTGTATGGCAGGATGCAGTGTGTTTTGTGTATGTGGTGATGCAGTGTGTGTTCGTAAGGGGTGAGTGTGTGTGTGGGTGAGATGTATTGTGTGTGTGGGTGAGAAGTTGTGTGTGTTTTGTATGTGTGTGTAAGGGATGTATTGTGTGTTTCTGTGTATATGTGCAAGGATGCATTGTCTTTATGTAAGGGTTGCATTGGTGTGTTTCTCTGTGTGTAAGGGAAGTTAAGGTTGTGTTTCTGTGTGGGGATGCATTGTGTGTGTGTGTGTGTGTGTGTGCGCGCGTGGTGTGAAAGAGCTCCCTGTCCCCCTGTCCTATAGAGCTCTCCCTTCCATTCCTTAGAGATCTCCCCTGCCCTTAGTGGTCTCTCCTCTCCTCCCCCACCTCCCTTAGTGATCTCCTTTTCTCTTGACTTTCCATTAGTGGTCTCTCCTCTCCCCCCACCCTCCCCTAGTGGTCTATCCTCCACCCCCCTCCCTTAGCGGTCTCTTCTCACACCCCTCCCCTAGTGGTCTCTCCACCGCCCCCTCCCTCCTTTAGTGGTCTCTCCCTCCACTACATTCTCATCTCCCACCCCTCGTGTTCTCCTCTTCTTCTCCCCCCGTGTTTTCCCTCTTTATTCCCCTGTGTTCTCCTCCCCTTCTTCTCCCCTGTAATCTTCTTCTCCCTCCCTGTAATCTTCTCCTCCCTTGTAATCTTCTCTCCCCTTCCCTCCCTCTGTAATCGCTTCTTTCTCCCCCCATAATCTTTTCTCCCTACCTACACTCCCTCCTATCAATCTTTCTCCTCCCACAATCATCTCCCTCCCTCCCTCTCCCATCTTCTCCCCCTTCCTCCCCATCAATCTTCCCCATCAAATCATCTCCCCCACAATCATCTCCCCCATCATTCCTCCCCTCCTCCCATCAATCTTCTCCCTCAATCATCTCCCCCCCCCTCCCCATCAATCATCTCCCTCCCTCCCATCAGCTTCTCCTCACCTCACCTCCCCTGCCCTGTAGCGTGGCCGAGCTCCTTTCCGGTCCCTTGACCCGGACCGGAAAGGAGCTCGGCCACGCTACAGCAGGGCAGGGGAGGTGAGGCACTGCGGCAGCCGCCTGAGCGCTCTCCATAGAGCGCTCAGGCGGCTGCAGAATTTAAAGGGCCGGCGATGGGGACGCAGGGCGCCCCCTCCTATATGGCGCCCTAGGCGGCTGCCTAGTTCGCCTTATAGGAAGCGCCGGCCCTGTATGGGCCACACCTTACTGATGAGACCTATTAAGGCCAAAACAGTTGTCTTGAGTTGCTGTATATCGTGTGCAGAGGTAGAGAGCTTGCATTTTGGATTTAGTTGCCCTTTTGGGTGGGATTGGTCTGATATCCAAGTGGTCTAGGTTCTCTCTGTTACAGCACAAGATGAGCTAAAGCCAGTGTGGGGACCCACCGAACAGCAATCTATATGAGTTGTTGTCTGTTCTCAGTATCCTATTGTGCAGTGTTTTGGTTTACCTTTTCGTTAAGTTAATAATTTGTTTACAGATAATCAAAATAAATCTTTTATTGTTCTTACATCAGTCACTTTTCACAGAACTCCACAAATTGTACTGTGTACTGTGAACAAAAAGATGCATTATGAATAAACCATAGTGCCTGTTAAGTACCCGCCTTTGTCACTTAACAAAACATTACAATATGTTAATAACAGGAGCAATTAACAATCCAGCTTTCAGTGCGTGGCCAAATAGTACTGATCAAGTTGGCATATGGCCACCCCTTTCTTATTAAGTGAAAAAGCGTTGTACATTTTTTTTCTGGTAACTTCAAAGAACTTACTTACTGGATTCCACGAAGGAAATTTTAGATTACATGATAACCATGGGCTCTTTTTAAGTTTAAATGATCATGTAATTAAATTAAACTTTGCTGCTAATGGACTGTAAAGGACATTACAAACATGCTATTAGCCTTTGTGTTTTAACCCATGAAATTTGCAAAGGAGGAAAATGTTAATTGTATTATATAGTGCATGTATTAATTAAAATTGCTTGTTTGCTAATGTTCTATATATGTGTATTTTAAATGTTTGTCACCACATGCTTAAGGACTAGTCCCTAAAGTCTAGTATGTTAGTACCTTTTGAAAGTGAGTGTCCTGTGTGGAATTTTAGGGATACCAGTAACAGAGTCTTCTGACGTGTTGGCTGGCTGCACGATCCCCCTAGCCCAGGGGCAAATCAAAAGAGAGCTAGGCATGAGATCTGCAATATTTTTATGAAGACAAGAGTTATCACATTACAGGCAGAGGTGCATACCTGCCTGGAAGGAAAGCTGCAGAGCAATAGGAATATGGGACAATACTTGCCTGGAAGTAAAGAGCTCCATAGAAATCCCAGTCAAGCTTCAGCGACTAGGGCTGAAGCGTTCCAGTGTCCCAGCAAGTGGCTAAGAAGCGGGCTGGGCGGAGGTACTTGGTCAGAATACAGGAGCTCCGTCACACAAGCTGCTTTTGATAGTTCTGTGGAATGAAAGCCAGGATGGTATTTCTGTTACTAATTATAAAAGTGCTGACATATATTGAAATCAGCACTTTTATAAACTGTCACAAATATGGCAGATTCAAACATGTAAAGCAATTCAGTAACTTAAAGTACTTTATGTCTTTAAACACCACTGCACAACCCGAACACACCTCCCCAGAGGAATCTCAACACTCTATTCCATACGCCACTTGGGAGCACGAGCCACTGGGAGAGAGACACAGCGAAGACACTCACCCCACAAGAATGGGACAACATTTTCACCCTCACTCACAAATGATCAATAAGCTCCAAATACCAGGAGCTAAACTATAAGTTGCTCACACGATGGTACAGAACACCAGACATCCTACACCGCATGCACGCTGACATGCCTAACACATGCTGGAGATGTGGCATACACACGGGGACCTACCTCCACATCTGGTGGACATGCCCCATCATAGCACCATACTGGGACAAAATCCAGGCAGAAAAACGGGAAGTCACAGGCACTGAATTGGACCCGAACCCACTGTCCATACTCCTTCACCACACCTCCCAGTCATTGAAAACTTACAAAAAATCCCTGTCACTACCCCTATTCAATGCAGCCAAATCCTTAATACCCGCACTCTGGAAACAGCCAAAAGCACCAACCCTCCAGCACTGGATAACTAAGGTGGAGGAAATTTACTCCATGGAACTTTGACAGCGGACCTGAAGGGGCGCTCGGAACAATGTGCTCTAGCCCGGTACCCGTGGGCTACACACGTATCCAGGAGAGGTGGAGGTGCGGGGGCTCAGCCAGCCGATCCCCCCTAAACAGACCTGCCAGAACAGGAAATAAGGGGAACCTACACATGGTCGGGGTGCTGGGCCAGAGGGGCCGCAAGAGGGGACAGACCCTTCCCCAACACACCTTATACCTTGTCTCCCTTTGTCCCCTTCCCACCCCAAGACAGCACCTCACCCACGTCACCGAGCGCCTAACCAGACAACTCTACTCAAGCCTGAGACAGACAGACATGTTAGAATTCTACCACCTGCAATGACCAACTGACTATACCAAACACTTGCACATGGCAAACACATTTAGGTTTTAAGTACAAGGATACCCAGCCGGACATAACTCTGCCTGTACCCTACTGCAACCAAATAGACAATAGCAGACACCAGACACGCAACAAGACACACCATAAGAAACCAACGACGACCTATAAAGCTCCAGCGGGGCAGGGTGTAAGAATGACACTACGCATACGCACCCAAAAAGGCATGGGGCTCCCTGGTCGGGGTGGGGAGTCTCCCACCCCGGACATGGAGAGTCACAAACACCTGTGACCCATTTTCTATTCCAAACTATAGTCACCTGAACCCTAGCACTGTTAAAGAACGCACTACAGCACACCCCCTACCCAAGTTTTCACCTACCCTGGTACTATAGACTTAGAAGTAAACCCAAATAGAGCACACCACACAAAAACCACCGAAGAGAAAAGAAGAGAGTTTAGAGGGAGATGAGAGCATGTAACAACAGACACTGTTAGAATATTGCTACAATTGATGCATGTATTCGTCTCAATAACATGGAGCTGAAAGTGCTAAAAACCTTATATCGCCAATTGTTGAAATGTTTTATGACTGCTCATATATGTATGCTTAATACCACAATATACTCACTGTGTTATTCAACTGTCAAAAAAAATGGCCCAAACTAGCTAAATAAGTACGAACTTCGACTATGGAAATATGTTTTTACAACACAAATGCATATTAACATTTTATCAGATGTATATTTATATTTTTGCAGGCCAACAATGGGAGGTATGGATCCAGGAGGTGCACGGTCTATTAGGAGTGAGCAACGAAGTATACTAACCAAAAAGAGGTAGGCCTGCCCAGAATGTGCTGTTCCACCTAAAAAGGAGGGCATTGAATATTGAACTTTCTTGCCAGATCCAGACCTGTTGGAAAGTCTGCATGCGTGCTAATGACTTGATAGGAATTGCCCCTCCGACCCCCCTTGGCCTTGGCAGCAAATAAGGATTAAGACAAATTGGCGGAAATAGATGGTTGCTAATAGCCAGAACAAATTTTATATAATGATAATAAACCCTCTTTAATCTCATGTCCCTAATGGATATAAAATAGTCATATTTATTATTATCTTCAACTTTTGAACCTTTTGTTACCATTTGTAATCCTTAATGGCAAGTGTAGCTCAGAAATCACCAATTCTCAGGGATGTTTTCGCAAAGCCAAAATAACCAAATTGAAAAAATACCAATTAGTTATTGTTTCAGTACCAACAATTTCAATTAGGTTTGCAATAAAGCACAATCCATCATGTGGTAAATAAACCCCTTCATTTTCATGTGGTGTAACTCCTGCAAACTATGAATACGGTCATTAATAAGCATACGATTTAATGAAGCTTAGTCCATGTTGGTAAGACCATATGTAACAGAAGCGATAATATTTTATAATAATCGAAGCATTACATTATTAATTTGAAAAATAATTGAAGTGATTTTTTTTTTAATTAGACTTATCATAGCAGAAAATACATTATTAATTACGCCTTTGAATATGTGTATATAGATTACAGTGAGCCGTTATTAAATGCTGGGGTTTTGCAATGCATCATGGTACACTGGATCAATATATATTTTATGGGAGATAAAGTAAACATAGTGTAACATTGCTAATTAATTCTACATATTATGCTTTGAAGTAAATTATATTTAAAAAAATCAAAAAAATATTGTACAATATATGGATTAAATCCTTCCCTACACCGCTTATGTTCATTTACAGAATGTTATTTGTTGTACATGTCCATGATTATGTGATTTACCACCGTTTCTCTGCTTTTAAGTGATCATATGACTTGGAGCTAAGTATGTATGGGTATTTATTGAGACCGTGTGTTTTGTCTTATCTTGATAAAGACCGCTTAGTGGTCGAAACGTTGTGTTTGTACACTCTAGATAGCTAAATATAGGGACACTGCTTCATAAGGACGTGCTGGAATTTATTACTTTAAATTCTAATTACGTGTCTATCATTCTGGAGTCGAACTCAATCGGTTTGCGTATCCTGGTATTGCTTTTGAGTAGCGAGGCGGGAAAAAGAAGGGTACCCCCACTGATATGTGATGGTGTTGTGCAATAGTTGACAAAGCAGCCCAGATTTTGTTAGTATCTCCATTGGAACTGAATTATGAGATTGTTTGTTTGTCTTGAGGACTGAGTTAGAAACCACTAGTCTCTGCAATTAAATTGGTTAATGCAACATTATAATAGTGTTTTAATTGCATTATGGAAGAGGGTTGCTAAATGGTAAATTTGTCAAAATTCACGTTATACTGCCAAGGAGAATAAGGAATTAAGAGTCTTCTTGTCAGTGAAGATCTCCTGGTGTGTTCAGCCACCAGCACAGACACTAATATATCTGGTCAATTTGTAGCCAATTGAGAGAGTAGACTACTGAAAGCAGAACATCATGGTTTATCACGTACAGAAGAAGAGGCATCTGGCAATTTGATCACAACTCTCGACCTATAAAACTTCAAGTAGAAGGTTAAGTAGTGTTTGAAGTATTCAAGTAGTTTTATCTCCTAACTTCCCAAAGGACCAATGGGAAAAAAAGATAATGCTGTGATACATTATTCACAGGTAATAAATGTGAAACGTTCGTACAATGTACATGTTTTAGATCAGTCCCTCCTCGGCTATGTGAGTGTTGTCTTTGGCATGTGTGATAAAGAATTGTTACATTGGGGAGTTTTTCTCTCTAGTCTTTTTCTTATTGTTTAAATCTCAATGGGGATGTAATTCTTTAAAACTCTTCCAAATCCATTAATTATGCAACGCCGGGAATTAATTGTTTATGCCAAATGTTTCTTCGGACAGAGAGTCCCAGATGAGTGTTCACAATGCTGCCGTATATGTACATTCAACGATCCTGCTAAAATATATCACTATTGTCTCCCTTACTGTTGGGTCTATTCATTATCATGTAAAGATAAAATCAGCATTATTCAGCAATGCATGAATAATTGATCAATGATATCAGCCGCAAATAATTCAATACATCAAACAACAAACATGTTAGGGAATGTAAAACACAGGCTTGGTGTAGACAGGCAAATCGATCCATCACACACTGATAAAAAGCAGAGATACAAGTCACAATTAAGGGAGGAATTAACGTAAACAAAAATATTGGAAAATAGAGAAAGACATACAGAAAATATCAGAGAGGAAATATTAATAAAATCTCAATGACTCTGAGTGTAAGCTACCCAGCTTCTTGAAGCTGTAACTCCCATCATACCCTAATTTGTAATGTAGCTGTGCAATGCTGCAACACTATTTCGTAGTTGCTCAAATGATTCTCAGAATTAAAATGTGTTATTTTATGTGTTTAACCATTTGCGTACAATTCTTAATGTTTTAATGGCTTATTCTTCTTCTTGTGACAAACCACGTTTCACCAATTTTGTTTTAATATACCATGGCCTGTAATTACATAATGGTTGGCAATTAATGAACATCAATGATTTATGAACAACTTCTTTCTTTGTGTATCAGAATAGAACACTTTAATTATATCTTATTAAATAGTATTTATCAACCTTATAGGAACACTATAAGGTCAGGAACTCAAATATGTATTCCTGACCCTATAGTTTTAAAACCACCATCTAGCACCCCCTGGTCCCCCTTGCCCCCTAAATATAGTAAGATCTTACTTGTATTTAAGTCTGCAGCTGCTGGCTCTCCCTGATCTGCCTGCTTGGATGACATCATCATAAGTGATTATTTGAGCCAATCACAGTGCTTTCCCATAGGTTTGGATGAGACTGTCAAAGAGGCAGATCGGGGGAGAGCCAGCACAAAGCAAACACAGCCCTGGCCAATCAGCATCTCCTCATAGAGATTCATTGAATCTAAGAGAAAAGTTCAGTGTCTCGATGCAGACGGTGGAGACACTGAATGGCAGTCACACTGTGCAGTACTGCCCCAGGAAGCACCTCTAGCAACCATCTGAAGAGTGGTCAGTGGAGGTATCGCTAGGCTGTAATATAAACACTGCATTTTCTCTGAAATCCTGCATGGAATGATTCTACTCACCAGAACAAATTCAATAAGCTGTAGTTGTTCTGGCGACTATAGTGTCTCTTTAAAATTATTCCTTAATATAACAGAGGCCTGTAGTGATATGTAGTGAATATAAAAGATAATTGCAATGTTACATTTTCTATCCAATTCATTTAAAACAAAATCCAGTGGATAGGGGATGTTGGATAAAGTTGCTCTGGGAAAAGGCGGCCCATGGCTAAAGGTACAGGGTTACGTTGCAAAATAATGATATCTGATAAGGGAGAAAAACACAGTTGGGGATGCCCTGTTTGTTCCTTGAAAGAAGTGAGGTGAAGGAGAGACTTCATTTAATTCCATTTATAGAGTGCTTAGTTCCCTTGACACTTCAAAGTAGTTGGCATCCTCCTGGCAATGTTCTTAAGGAGTACATTTTAATGGGAAGAGTTGGTGGTTAACCATAGTATCTCTTACTTATACTCACAATGTATTGATTTTTATTATTTTTTTATATATTTATTGTCCTTAAACTTGAATTAAAAAATGGATGTTTCTTATTTTTTGATATGCAAAGCATTACATCTGCAAATATGCATTACAGTCTGTGATATTAGGATACCTGTTTTTCATTTTTAGGAGAATTCTCAGTAGGGAAGGAATGAACATTTCATTAATTTTTATAATTGTTTATTTTAGCATTGCTGTACATGATCAATGTGGAAATAAGCAGAATAAAAACATTGATTTAACAAAGTCTAAAAAAAAAAGTTGTTCTGAAACAAATTGAAAAATGGAAAATAAATATTAAATAGCAATTATATAAATTTCAAATATATGCAGATTCAATAGTTTGCCATTGTTGGTTTTGAAGTGATTACATTTGTATTACTTTTTAAATATTTAATTAAAAGTACATGTGCCCCCAAAGCAGGGACAGATGTAGCCAGATTTAATGGGACATTACTTTGTTGGGGAAAACGTTGTGTCGGTTTCAAGACCATGCAGCATAAGGATTCGTAATTTCATGCAGAAAAAAATAAAAAATAATATCTTCTGCTTACTAATCATCCGTGCATCTGCAACTTGCTATCATTTTATGAATCTTTATATCAGTGATATCAATGAGTCAAAATGCTATGGGGTTATGTATAAAAAGTATTCTGGGGCATTGAAGCTCAAAATGAAACATACGATTTAACAAACCAATTGGTAGTTATAACGAACCTAACTAAATTATCATTCAATTATTCACTGACCGAACTTCTTTATAGGACCTGGAGCCACCTTTTCTTTCAAATTTTTTATTTACAAACAAGAGGAGATTGACCTACAGGAACAGAGGGTGATGATGGCTCTGCTCAAATGAGCTTACATTCTAGGGGGAGTGAGGTAAAGTGAAGCAGGAGGCTCGGGTAATATGTATTTCACATGTGGGAAAAGTACGTTGGGAGAGGAGTTTATAATATTTTTCGTGATACAGTAGCAGGAGATGAGTTACCAAGGTGTGGAGAGGGAAAGCTGGTAACACTTTAAATGATATGTCTTGATATGAAGTGAGTACTATTACAATTGTATTTTATTATATGACCCATGGGTTGACTACTTATCACATTTATGGTTCTGTGTCAAAACTATTTCTTTTGACCATCTATCATACAGCTTGTATATGTCTTGCTGTTGCAATGTCCATTATTTGTCATCCATTATCTTTAAAGTAAATTTAAAATGGTTGACCGCAAAGGGCATTCTGGGAGAAATGCTCTAAAAGGGGTAGCCACTATGTAAACCAATGGAATAGACCCGCCGATTGTTCCACTTTTAACAAGTTGCTTCGGATGTTTTCATTACACATAACCCCGCATGCTTCTCTATAGATTTCTTGGGAATATCTTGACGTACAATTTAAATGGCTTTTCCTAGAAGACTCGATGAGAAGTTATCATAGCCTCTCTTTAACTTCGGGATTGAGCCATTAGGCAGTGCATTGTGATAAGCTGAAAATTTTCCTTGGAAAACATAGACAAAAATAGGAGAGAGGCAGATCTCAATCTAAGTGGGTATTTCTGTAGACATTTTAGGTTTGCATAGTTGCTATATCATCTGTATGATTTTTATTTTCTCTGTATTCATGGTTTAAACAGAGTCCACAGCCTGGCTATTTTGACCTACATTTTACAATTTAAATGTTCAATTCTCTGCAATTCAGAGTTTGTAAAATAAACCCCTAAACGTATTGCAGATATCTGAGATATCATCTTGTATCATATTATTCAAAACAGTTTTACATTTTACCATCACAGAGCCACCTGCATACACAAATATCCAAGCATATCATTGTACGGGCTTACTGCAGTGTGAGACAAAGGCAGCAATTAACTTCGCAAAAAACATCTCCCCAGCTATAGAAAAAAACTGTCTAGGAGATTTATTGAACTCAAACATCATTCTGTTTCCTGAAAAATAATACTTTTTATGTATATTTTATTTTGTCACAAAGAAGTTCTATCCATTTACAACACACACACACACACACACACACACTCTCTCTCTCTCTCTCTCTCTCTCTCTCTCTCTCTGTGTTATGGTTGATTATATATTTCCTACCTGTTCTATGTTACATTTTGTATATATTGGGTATTAATTATGTTTTTATATTTTATTGTACCGTAATGTATCAATGAAATCTCAATGTATCCATCCTGGTAAAATATTTTCTAAATAAATAATAGCTTAGTAGAGCAACAGTAAACCTTGCATACTACGGTGTGCCGATAGAATTGATTGAATCCTATTATATACAATGATGCTATTGCAGTACAGAGACGGAAGTTATGAATTAAAAATGGTTTCATTACCACCAAATGTTAAAGGATCTAACTGACCTTTATCCCAGGAGAATTCAATGTATGTGTTATTGGAACACATACACTGCACAGAAATGGGAACGTGCGGCAATTCTATTACAATGTTTCTACAACTAGAAAGGTTATTAATATTTCTTTGTGCTTATTGTATGTATGGTGTGAGTGCCAATACTCCCTACATTGTATCCAGTTCAGTCTCTCTCATAGAAACAAAATAAATTACCAATATTTGTTACATTTTCACACCTTATTGACAAGCTTATTTTTTAGAATTTAACACAATTCATTGCAATGTTTCAGAGTACTACCTTTTATCCATACATTATGTTAACCAAGTCACAACAGTATATAGGTTTTGTCATATCAAAATATTATAGCATAGTGGAGAGCAAAAAATGGGTTGCAAGCGTATTCTGAGAACGGACAGCAGCTAAAATAGCCTGCCCTTCGGTGGGTCCCCGCTCAGAACTCAAGCTGGTTTTAGCTCATCTTGTGCCATTACAGAGAGAACATATCTGAAGCATATCAGACTGGTCCCACCCATACGGGCAGTCCAGATCCGAAATGCCAGCAAGTTCTATCTGCGCGAGAGATACAGCAACCCCAGACGATCGTTTCAGCCTTGTTAGGCATCGTCAGTGAGGCATAGCTGATATCTCTCTAGGCACCGTGAGCAAGGGGGCCACGTCTGG